TTGTATGTTTTGTATAGTGCTGTCTGCACAGGCACGCTGGTCAGTGTTGTACATTTTTTAGTGCTAGGTCAGTTTTGTATGTTTTGTATAGTGATGTCTGTACAGGCACACTGGTCAGTTTTGTGTACTTTCTAGTGCTGGTCAGTTTTGTTTACTTTGGCCATGCTATAACAAAATGTAATGTATTGTATAAGGCAGATTGGTCATTTCTATTGTACTGTGTACAGTAGTTCTGTTGGTACAATGTATACCATTCAAATTACTGTGGTTATTTCTATACTGTGTAGTTCTGTTGGTACAACATTTGAATTACTGTAATCCTAGTACTTGTTCATACATTTCCACTGTTTTGCGTAATTGTCTGAACATTTGTGAACACTATATGGACATTGTTGTGAGCTTATTGAATACACTACAGGAATCAATCCTTTCCTAGGGTTATTAGCCGTGTCAGTATACACACATTCTCTACACCCTTTGACGTTTCTTATAAAATTCAGGTTCCTGGTTACCAATCACAATACTGATAGACAGGTAGCAGTATACAGTAGAAATGGCCCGACTCTGATAAACAAGGCACATGTCGAGGAAATGTAAACACAGCGGATTTACCCTACACAACACATGTATACATGTATATATATTTGTAAACTGCATTACATTTACAATACATATAAAGCACTGAGAAGTGTATAAACCTCTTTTTTCTATGTATGTCACTTGTGTGAAAACCATGGTTACCACATCAAAAATTACCAAAAAATGCCAAAAAATGCTATTTTTAACCCAAAATTTGACCCCCGCAACTAGTATTTTTTTTCCTAAGCTCTGTCTGAAATTAAAGATTACCTACCTGGTTGCAGAATTATCTGGGTCCCAGTAAAGTTGTAAAACTTTATTTTTTGCAATTTTGTGTCGTGTGCTGTTGTCAAAATTTTACCTCCTGTAAAGCTAGCTTTTCATGTGTACGCACCCTTTCAGATTATGGCCAAAATTTTATTCTGAAATCAAAAAAATCTTCTTTCTTTTTTACAAATGTAAAGCTCACATAGCCCACTTCATCATGCTTATACCAATTTTAGTACAGTTTTATGTTTATATTTTTTTTACATATCATTATACAGGGGTTAGCCATTTAACAAAAATATCACCCATGGGTGCAGAGAGAAGACATGTATATTGAGAGTTACACCTATAGGCCTCTTTGTATTACAAAAAAAGGAAGTAACTGTTGCCGTGATTGTAATATGTTAGTTAAGGAAGTGTCCCCATATCACCTTTAGAGTTTCACCTCTCTAAGAAATACATCCTCCTCTCAGTACCTGTTTGTTCCCTTCTTTCCTTCCCCATTCCTTCTCCTTTCCTCTCCCTTCTTCCCCACCTATGATCCCCATTATCCATTTTCCTTCCTACTCGTACATGTAGCAGATCTTCCATTATCTCCCCTCTTTAGTCCAAGTACTACCCTTTTCATACCTTCCTCCTCCACTGCATGTTTCCAAAACCTTTCTAGTATAGACATATATATATATATCTCAGAGATTGGCCTCCTAACCAAGCCTATACATGAATCAACAGGAACTCAGTAACATATCTAAGAGAGTTATTAGGCCAGCCCCCAGTTACATACAAACTGTCCCTGAGCCTGCTACAGAACGACTAACAGAGTAATAAGACTGATCCCAAGTTACATACAAGCTGTCCCTAAGCCTGCTACAGAACTACATCTCCTAGAAAGTTACAAGGCCAGCCCCCAGTTACATACAAGCTGTCCCTGAGCCTGCTACAGAACTACATATCCTAGAGAGTTACAAGGCCAGCCCCAAGTTACATACAAGCTGTCCCTGAGCCTGCTACAGAACTACATCTCCTAGAGAGTAACAAGGCCAGCCCCCAGTTACATGCAAGATGTCCCTGAGCCTGCTACAGAACTACATCTCCTAGAGAGTTACAAGGCCAGCCCCCAGTTACTTAAAGCTGTCCCTGAGCCTGCTACAGAACTACATATCCTAGAGAGTTACAAGGCCAGCACCAAGTTAGATACAAGCTGTCCCTGAGCCTGCTACAGAACTGCATATCCTAGAGAGTTACATGGCCAGTCCCTAGTTACTCAAAGCTGTCCCTGAGCCTGCTACAGAACTGCATATCCTAGAGAGTTACAAAGCCAGTCCCTAGTTACATACAAGCTGTCCCTGAGCCTGCTACAGAACTACAGCTCCTAGAGAGTTACAAGGCCAGCCCCCAGTTACTTAAAGCTGCCCCTGAGCCTGCTACAGAACTACATCTCCTAGAGAGTAACAAGGCCAGCCCCCAGTTACATGCAAGATGTCCCTGAGCCTGCTACAGAACTACATCTCCTAGAGAGTTACAAGGCCAGCCCCCAGTTACTTAAAGCTGGCCCTGAGCCTGCTACAGAACTACATATCCTAGAGAGTTACAAAGCCAGTCCCTAGTTACATACAAGCTGTCCCTGAGCCTGCTACAGAAATACATCTCCTAGAGAGTTACAAGGCCAGCCCCCAGTTACATGCAAGCTGTCCCTGAGCCTGCTACAGAACTACATATCCTAGAGAGTTACAAGGCCAGCCCCCAGTTACTTAAAGCTGGCCCTGAGCCTGCTACAGAACTACATATCCTAGAGAGTTACAAGGCCAGCCCCCAGTTACTTAAAGCTGCCCCTGAGCCTGCTACAGAACTACATCTCCTAGAAAGTTACAAGACCAGCCCCCAGTTACATACAAGCTGTCCCTGAGCCTGCTACAGAGCTGCATATCCTAGAGAGTTACAAAGCCAGTCCCTAGTTACATACAAGCTGTCCCTGAGCCTGCTACAGAACTACATATCCTAGAGAGTTACAAGGCCAGCCCCCAGTTACTTAAAGCTGGCCCTGAGCCTGCTACAGAACTACATATCCTAGAGAGTTACAAGGCCAGCACCAAGTTACATACAAGCTGTCCCTGAGCCTGCTACAAAACTACATCTCCTAGAAAGTTACAAGGCCAGCCCCCAGTTACATACAAGCTGTCCCTGAGCCTCATACATCCAGCTGTTGTTTAGAACACATTATCATCCCGTGACTCAATTTAAAGCTGATGTCTTAGAGTGCAGATAGATGAGAAACACATTAATGACTGCCTTATTGATAGGGGAAAGTTGCATGTATAAATCAACTTCCACAAGATTGAAATTACACAAGGGTGGAAAGAAGATTTTTAAAATGAGAGTGTAGTGTAGCATAGAGCCTTAAATTCATAAAATCCTGAAAATTAAATAGTAATGTATGGTCTGAACAAAATGTATGTTAGTATATATACATATCTGGCTGTGGGGTAGGTTAAGACAATCACCCACCCACCGGAAGGTATTGTGGTGTGTATCCTTCCTCCCATTCTCTGAACAGAACATCCTGACCAAACAATTTACTGTATGACATTTATTGAAACAGATTGAAGTTATACAATTTCACACAATCTGAAAGAAACATGAATTACATTTCCTATAGAAACCAGTTACAGAAAATACTGTTATTCTATTGAGATGTCCATACGTTTCTTTCACCTTTACTTACCACTATATTGCATTCAAGTTCAAATAATGGAATTAAATTAAGGTATTTAGCATACTCATGGCCACAAACATAGTCTTGAAAAATATATCAATGGTACACAGCCTTCCTCAAACTATACATGTTTTGCCTTTAAAAGCCTTATATCTTTTACCTAGACCAATAGCATAGGTGATACAAAGGTGGAAAAACTTCCGAAACGAGCATTGTAAAAATGTTTAACCTTGCAGAAATTGTATTTGTGCCCTTTCATGTATGAAAGATCCTAAGGTCACAACTCACTTTCAGAAATGAGAAATACATGAATAATTGATTAGATGGTGACTGACTATATATATATGTCCTATATCCACGGCTAATTGATTGGTGGGCTGGGTTTTTCCCACTAAAACAATTTATTGAGCGACATCATGACCCATACATCGGCTGATTAGATACTGGATAGGCTCTGCCTATCATGTAAATTTGCATCTAGATCTGTGTATGCAAAAAAAATAATCAAGTTATTTTGTGGGACAAAAAAGACTGTTAATCATAAAAGCTCTGATAATATTAAGATTGAAAGAACAGTATCACCTTGTGTTGATATGACTATATCAGGTGACATACTATATTACATATGGATGATCCTTTAACTTTCTGAAAGAAACAGAACAAAGTAGGTCCATTGAAGCTGTGACTAATTCTTTATATACCAGGTATATCATCTTACGGGGCACTCTTATAGATCATATCACATCCTTACTCACAGAAACAGTCCTCTTGGGGAATGTTAATTGTTAAGAATTATGACTGAAATTCCTTTATATGGAGGAGAGATCTTGAAACAGCAGTCATCTAATGTTAATTCAAAGACTGGAACCTGTATATGTTTTATTCAATGAAATACTCATAATAACATACCTCGGGAGCATTCATGTGTTATATATACACCTGCACATGCCAGTTCTTTTGTTGACTTGGGATTTCCCATGATACATATAATCAATACTGCAGGCCTAGGTGACACAGAAAATACAAACCTACTAGGCTCAGAGTCTAGGTTTTTCCACATTACAAGAAACCAATTAACAATATTCTATTTCTCCAGCTTATATAAAATTATACATGTATTGCCTGATTGGACATACCCATATTCTATTTCTTTAGTTGGTAAATTATTATAAATGTATTAATACCTGATTGGACATAACAATATTCTATTTCTCCAGCTTATATAAAATTATACATGTATTGCCTGATTGGACATCACCATATTCTATTTCTTTAGTTGGTAAATTATTATAAATGTATTAATACCTGATTTGACATTACAATATTCTATTTCTCCAGCTGGTACATAATGATATTGCCTGCTCTACATTACAATATTCTATTTCTCCAACTGGTACATAATGAGATTGCCTGATCTACATTATAATATTCTATTTCTCAGGTGATTGCTGGCTTTTGGCTGCTACAGCCTCCTTGACCTGTAACAAGACCTTGTTTGCCCGAGTTGTGCCAGCTGACCAAAACTTTACAGATGACTACTGTGGTCTGTTTCGCTTCCACTTCTGGCACCAGGGAGATTGGGTGGAGGTTTTGGTGGACGACCGACTTCCCACCTACTACAACAAGCTGGTGTTCATGCACTCAGCAGAGAACAATGAGTTCTGGAGCGCCCTGTTTGAGAAAGCTTATGCCAAGTAAAGCAATTTGCATATAAACTATAACATTGCTTAATTTTCCTGCTGCCTTCTATTAAGTTTTTATGATGAAGATGTTCATTTAGATAAATTAATTCTCTAACAGAACCCTCTATCAGAGTTTTTAATAAGAACATCATACTTACGTTAGGTTTTGGCTAACTGTGGTATTATATATGCATGTTAAGTTTCACAGAAGTCCAATTTGTAGTCAAATTATCTGGTAGTTCACATCCTTAAATGACCTTAGCTGTTGATAGGACATAAAACCGTTTGACAACAATCTTCTAGATCAAACTGCATTATGACAAAATGATATAGTACAGGACACCTGGTACATACTCACACCCTCAACAGTGGTCAAAAATGATAAAGTACAGGACACATGGTATATACTCACACCCTCAACAGTGGTAAAAAATGATAAAGTACAGGACACATGGTATATACTCACACCCTCAACAGGATATCTAGAGTAAGGTCAAACATGTTATAGTACAGGACAGATGGGACATGCTCACAACCTCAACAGTGGTCAAAAATGATATAGTACAGGACACATGGTATATATTCACACCCTCAACAGTGGTCAAAAATGATAAAGAACAGGACACATGGTATATACTCACACCCTCAACAGCAGATATAGAGTAAGGTCAAACATGTTATAGTACAGGACAGATGGGACATGCTCACAACCTCAACAGTGGTCAAAAATGATATAGTACAGGATACATGGTACATACTCACACCCTCAACAGTGGTCAAAAATGATAAAGAACAGGACACATGGTATATACTCACACCCTCAACAGGATATCTAGAGTAAGGTCAAACATGTTATAGTACAGGACAGATGGGACATGCTCACAACCTCAACAGTGGTCAAAAATGATATAGTAAAGGACACATGGTACATACTCACACCCTCAACACTAGATCAAACTGCATTATGACAAAATGATATAGTACAGGACACCTGGTATATACTCACACCCTCAACAGTGGTCAAAAATGATAAAGAACAGGACACATGGTATATACTCACACCCTCAACAGCAGATCTAGAATCAGGTCAAACATGTTATAGCACAGGACACATGGTACATACTCGCACCCTCAACAGCAGATCTAGAGTCAGGTCAAACATGTTATAGAACAGGACAAATGGTACATACTCACACCCTCAACAGCAGATCTAGAGTCAGGTCAAACATGTTATAGTACAGGACACATGGTACATACTCGCACCCTCAACAGCAGATCTAGAGTCAGGTCAAAAATGATATAGTACAGGACACATGGTATATACTCACACCCTCAACAGCAGATCTAGAATCAGGTCAAACATGTTATAGTACAGGACACGTGGTACATACTCACACCCTCAACAGCAGATCTAGAGTCAGGTCAAACATGTTATAGGACAGGACACATGGTACATACTCACACCCTCAACAGAAGATCTAGAGTCAGGTCAATGTAATTATGACAATATATATGTTAATTCAAAAAGTGTCTTCTCATGTATGAATATAGTACAGGACACCTGGTATATACTCACACCCTCAACAGTGGTCAAAAATGATAAAGAACAGGACACATGGTATATACTCACACCCTCAACAGCAGATCTAGAATCAGGTCAAACATGTTATAGCACAGGACACATGGTACATACTCGCACCCTCAACAGCAGATCTAGAGTCAGGTCAAACATGTTATAGTACAGGACACATGGCACATACTCACACCCTCAACAGCAGATCTAGAATCAGGTCAAACATGTTATAGTACAGGACACATGGCACATACTCACACCCTCAACAGCAGATCTAGAGTCAGGTCAATGTAATTATGACAATATATATGTTAATTCAAAAAGTGTCTTCTCATGTATGAATTCAAGTTGTATTCACAAATAAAACCTACAGGCATAGGTCGTAAAATAAAGTACACACAAAAATAAACTAATCAATATTATACTTTAGCTTTGATTTCTCAATGAAAACAATAACATGTATATGACTGCAAAAGAGAACACTGCTTACTTTACTAAATTCTTACTGCGATCAGTACTACATATCTATACAACTATAGATTACAGGGGTCCTATATATGAGTCCCTGAAGGGAGGCAGTACTTGTGAGGCCATGTCAGTAATACATATCTATATAACTATAGGTTACAGGGGTCCTATGAGTCCCTGAAGGGAGGCAGTACTTATGAGGCCATGTCAGTAATACATATTTATATAACTATAGGTTACAGGGGTCCTATGAGTCCCTGAAGGGAGGCAGTACTTGTGAGGCCATGTCAGTAATACATATCTATATAACTATATAACTATAGGTTACAGGGGTCCCATGAGTCCCTGAAGGGAGGCAGTACTTGTGAGGCCATGTCAGTAATACATATCTATATAACTATAGGTTACAGGGGTCCTATGAGTCCCTGAAGGGAGGCAGTACTTGTGAGGCCATGGAAGACTTCACTGGTGGTGTCACTGAGATGTTTGACCTGAGGAAGCCCGACGATAACCTGCTCTCTATCATGCTGAAGGCCAGCACCCGTGGCTCTCTGATGGGATGCTCCATTGATGTACGTTTCTGATCCATTATATCTGTACAATTGATTAATGATGTACCAATTTATTTCAATTTCTACACAATTGACAAGTATCATAAAAATCAGTCTAACACAACTTTGTCTCCTACACTCTGCTGTTGTGCACCTGCGATGAATATTTTGATCCATCCATTATTATTAGCTCACCGGGTCGAAGGACCTAGGTGAGCTTATGCCATACCGTGGCGTCCGTCCGTCCGTATATCATCCGTATGTCAACAATTTCTTTAAACAACTTCTTCTTCTAAACCACTCATTGGAATTCAACTAAATTTGACTGGAAGCAACTCTAGGTGGTGGGGATTCAAAAGTGTACAAGGGCTGAGGGGCTGGGCCAAAAGGGGGCAATTTGGCTATATCGCTTCAAGCGACTTCTTCTTTGGAACTAAGAGATGGATATCAGCCATATTTGATTGAAAGTATCCCTAGGTAGTAGAGATTCAAAATTGTACAAATGGTTGGGCTGACTCCCCAGGGGGCCGAGGGGCGGGGCAAAAAGGTGGCAAATTGGCTATTTTTTATTGCTACAAACAACTTCTTTTGTAGAACTGTGCACTTCATATTAATCATATTTGATCAAAAGCATTCATGGGAGGGAGGGATTAATAATTATACAAATGGTGGGGTTGACCCCCGAGGGGGCTGAGAGGCGGGGCCAAAAAGGGGGCAATTTGGCTATATTGCTTCAAGTGACTTCTTCTCTGGAACTAAGAGATGGACATCAACCATATTTAACTGGAAGCATCTCTAGGTGGAGGGGGTTCAAAATTGTACAAATGGTTGGGCTGA